CCCGTGCCCCCAGGAGGAGCAGGAGGTCAAGGAGACCCCCGTGCCCATCCCTGTCCCACTGCCTGACCCCACACCGTGCCCTCAGGAGAAACAGGAGATCAAGGAGCTCCCCGTGCCCACCCCGTGCCCTCAGGAGAAGCAGGAGGTCAAGGAGACCCCCGTGCCCATCCCTGTCCCGCTGCCCGACCCCACCCCGTGTCCCCAGCAGAAGCAGGAGATCAAAGAGACCCCTGTGCCCACCCAGGAGAAGCAGGAGGTCAAGGAGACCCCCGTGCCCACCCCGTGCCCCCAGGAGAAGCAGCAGGAGATCAAGGAGCTCCCTGTGCCCACCCCGTGTCCCCAAGAGAAGCAGGAGATAAAGGAGCTCCCTGTGCCCACCCCATGTCCCCAGGAGAAGCAGGAGGTCAAGGAGCTCCCTGTGCCCACCCCGTGTCCCCAAGAGAAGCAGGAGATAAAGGAGCTCCCTGTGCCCACCCCGTGTCCCCAAGAGAAGCAGGAGATCAAGGAGACCCCCGTGCCCACCCCATGTCCCCAGGAGAAGCAGCAGGTCAAGGAGCTCCCTGTGCCCACCCCGTGCCCCCAGGAGAAGCAGGAGATCAAGGAGACCCCCGTGCCCATCCCTGTCCCGCTGCCCGACCCCACCCCGTGTCCCCAGCAGAAGCAGGAGATCGAGGAGCTCCCCGTGCCCACCCCGTGCCCTCAGGGGAAGCAGGAGTGCCAGGACGCCCCGGTGCCAGTGCCAGCTCCCTGTCCCGACCCCGAGCAGCTCTCCCTTCCCGAGAAAGCCCCTCCCGTGGAGCAGCAGCAGCTCAAACAGCCCAACCCGTGGCCTCCCGCCCAGAAGTAAAGTGGGGCCGCCCGAGCCGAGCCCCGAGGGGAGAAGAAGATCCCAACCCCAAACCTCCTCTCCCACATCTCCCATCCAGAGGTCATTTCCCAGCACCTTTTGAATCGCTGCAGAGCTTCTGTGGAGAAGAAAATCGCTGCTGAGCTTCCAAGTCCCCCCTCCAATTAACGCTTCGTCCTGTACTAACAGCGGATAGAAAGGCTTCGAGCAGGGTCCTGGGTGTGTGTTCAGCTCCCCAGCAGCCTGAATTCCTGCCCTCTCCCAGTCCCCCTGGCCCAGAGAGACACCACAAAGCTCCCTGGCAGCACAGGGCAGGGTTCCTTAAGCTCAGCATTAAACTCTCCCCCAGCACAAGGCCCAGCTCTGGTCTCCCTGCCTTCCCCCCCAGCTCCCTGGATTCCACCTCCCACCTGCATTTAGGGCTTCCTGCCTGTTCATAGTGGGAGGTCTGGGCAGAACCTGCTGCTAAAGGGTTCTGATCCCCCTCCCAGCTCGTGACACGGCAGTGCTGATTGGTTTCATGCGATTAAAAAGAATCCGCCGGGCCGCAGGAAATAGGAAGGGATTTTAGGACAGAGGCACCAGCTCTGCCCAGGCAGGAGCCAGAGCTCACCTGGAACCTTCTGGGACGTGTGAAAGAGCAGCTCCAGCTGAGAGGCTCCCTGGCAAACCTCCCGAATCCACTCCAGACACGTTGTGAAAGCAGAGCTTAACCTCAGGCTCCACGGGGCAGAGGAGGGAACACACCCGGGGCTGCCTCAATTACACCCCACACGGGGTTGCTGTGGATGGATTTGCCACTTGGCTCTAATTGTTTTAGGCTGGTGTTGCATCCAGGATTCATTTCACTGTGAAAATCAGCAATAAAAGTTGCTTTGAATACCGAGGTGTGGAGGTTTTTCTCGGCTTCTGCTTAAAAAAGGTGGGAGGGAACCTCAGCTGGCAACAGGCAGGTGTTTGTCAGGGGCAGAGCTTGGGGCTTCCCAATCAGGACCTGGAAACTCGGGAATGGGTGACCCTGAGTCACAGAACCATGGAATGGTTTGGAATGGGAGGGTCCTTAAAGTCTGTCCAGTGCCACCCCCTGCCACGGGCAGGGACACCTTCCTCTGTCCCAGGTTGCTCCAACCCGGCCTTGGGCCCTTCCAGGGATCCAGGGGCAGCCAAAACTTCCCTGGGCAACCTGTGCCAGGCCCTCCCCACCCTCCCAGGGAGGGATTTATCCTTAATATCCCATCTCAACCACCTGTGTGTGCGCCTTTAAAGGTAATTTTTTGGCAAATAAAAGAGGAAGGTAACGAACAACACGAGCAAAGTGACAATAAAAACATCAGGAAGCAAGTCATGAGTTATTAGTCATTTTATTGCAGCGTGTCCCAAATGAAGAGCAGGATAAAGCGGCCCCAGGATTTATTTATTTATTATTTCCCAGCAGAGGGTGAGCCAATCCCAGGTAATGAATTGCACCTCGTTGTAAAGCAATTGCTCCTTGCAGGGCTGAGGAGGCGGCTGCGGGGTTTTGGAGCCCTTCCAGCGGCGCCAGCAGACAGGGAAGTTGGGAAAGGAGCGTTTGGAAATGGGGATCTGCATTTGGAAACGGGGATTTGCATTTGGAAACGGGGAATTTGCATCTCCCGTGGCAGCTCCGGGGCCATCGGGGCTACTTCTGCTTGGGGCAGCCCTGCTGGTGCTGCTGCTGCTGCTGGGGGAGGCTCTTCACGGGGCACTTGGCCTGCCCTTTGGGGGCCTGGCTTTGCTCCACACCCTTGGCAGGGGCCACACACTTCTCCTGGCACTGGGGAGGGAGGCACTGCTGCTGCTTCTGCTGGTGGGACGACATCCCTGCCGAGCCTGCAAGGAAACCCCACGGCGGGGCAGTTGTGTTAAATCCCCTCCACACACACCTCTCCTTCTGGGATATCGCGGTTTCAGGAGGTTCCTCAGCTCTGGCATCGACTCCCCAGCCAAGAGGATGAGCTTCTGAGGTTAATCCTCCCCCCAAACCCACTCCTGGCCATAAATCCCTGAGGATGCTGCTCTCCAGACCCGGCGAGGCCACTTTGCTGCACCTGCCCCTCGGTGGCTTTTTTGGGGCCCCCATCACACCCTCCGTGGGCTCAGGCACTCTGCTGAGCCCTCAGAGAGGAACTGCACATAAAATGAGTGCCAGAGGCAAGCTCCAGCCTAACAGAGCCTGGCTCCAGCCTAGCAAAGCCTGGCTCCAGCCTGACAGAGCCTGGCTCCAAGCAGGGAAGTGGCTGCGGGAGCTGAGGAGGGGACAAACATCGAGGGGGGTTTTCCTTCATTCCCTCTGCTCAAAAAAATGTTTGCTGGACATTCCAGCTTGGACAAGCACAGGAGAAAGGCAGGTTTGAAGGCAAACTCGCTCGGCTCAAGGAGGACCTCAGGGCAGGGGTTAAAGCTGTTTGAAGAGGAGCAGAAAAGTGGTGAGAGCTCGGTGCTGGGAGTTCTGAGAGCAGGAAATCCTCGGGGAACAGCCCCCTTTGGCAACAGGCACATCCCTGCTCAGGTCAGGGAGAGCCTCAGAGCAGGAGCTGCATCTCTGGCCATCAAATTCGATGGATTTTATGCAGAGAAGTGGAACTCAGGGCCCTGGGAATCCAGGAGAGCCAAGTGATCAGATGCTAAACCAGCTTCCCACGGGTGCCAACTGCTGGCAGCTCATCCCCAACCCCTGCTGGTTATCCACAGGATCCTTATCAGCCTGGGGGAAATCCAGAGGGTTGGCAAGGGGGTTCTGGTCCCAGAGAGGCAGCAAACCACAGTTTGGAACCTCAGAAAGCCTCCGAAGCCCATCCTGTGCCTCTCACCCGCCGGGGGAAAAGCTGGAGCTGGGACTGGAGGGACAAACCAGGGACAAACCACCCCCAAAGCCCCAGAACCACCCCTGGGCAGGCAGAGAGGCACGGGAGGACTCACCTGGTGTCTCACCTGGAGTCTCCTGCTCTGGAAGGAGGGAAGGAGAAGCCACTGGAGGTGAGGAGCTGCAGGAGGGTTTTATACCCTCCCAGGAGCTGATGACAACAGATTAACTCGGTGACCAGAATCTTTCACAACCAGAACCTGCCCCGCTCACACCTCCCTGCTCCTGGACCACAGTCAAGGCCTGGGAAGGATCCCTCCTCTTCCAGCTGCGGGGGATTTGTTGTTTTTAATGCCAGGCACACCCAGGCTGGTAATCACGGGCTAATTCATTAATAATTCCCTCATCCCTGTCCTGGGCACGGATCCCACGGCTCTGTGGGGCTGGGACACAACTCACATCCTCTCTGGAGGGAGCAGAACGTGGCCACACAAAATTCAGGTGATAATTTCATCTGTGACCACAGCACAGATCCCCAGAAACCCGAGTGGGGTGGGGGAGCCCCTGTGCCAGCCCCTGGCAAGGGCAGCAGGTCTGTCTTTGGCCTCCTGTGCTTCTGGATTTTGCTTTTGCCCTTCTCCAATTTCCTCCCCCAAAAAGGGGAATAAAACACTTCAGAAAGCCAAGAAATCAGAAATCTTTCCCCTGGTTTTTTTCCTTGCACTTTACTGTGGTTTTTCACTGAATTAACTTCATTTTTAATGAACTGAATTCCTTTTTTCCAGACGCGCTGAAGTTGTGGCAGGATTTCTTTATTTATTTTTTTTTTTTTTGAGGATGGATCCACGTTGCAGAAAAATGTGGATTCCCTTGAGATTTTTTCAAGGAAGGGACAGAGAAAATGTTCCATCTGAAGCCTTGGCTTTGCTGGAAAAGGAACCCTTGATTTTTCCCACCAACAACCCTTGGTTGTTTTTACCCACAGTCCTTGGTTGTTTTTACCAAAACTCCTTGGTTGTTCCCACCAACAATCCTTGGCTATTCCCACCAAAAATCCTTGGCTGTTCCCACCAAAAATCCTTGGTTGTTCCCACCAAAAATCCTTGGCTATTCCCACCAAAAATCCTTGGCTATTCCCACCAAAATCCTTGGCTATTCCCACCAAAAATCCTTGGTTGTTCCCACCAAAATCCTTGGCTGTTCCCACCAAAATCCTTGGTTGTTCCCACCAAAAATCCTTGGCTGTTCCCACCAAAAATCCTTGGCTGTTCCCACCACCAGCCCTCCACCCCCCAGCTCCCGGTGTCTGACACATCCCCATCAGCTCCCTGACCCTCTCCAAGGCTGACAGGGATGAAGTGGCACCAATTTGCTGCAAATATCCCAGGAATCTGAGCAATCCCCAGGGCTGACCGGGAGGGAAGTGTGTCAGGGCTTTTGGAACATCTTCTTCCCACCTGCACAGGAAACCTCGATGAGCTCCATCCAACAGGAGCCTCCTGCCACTTCCCCCGGGGTTTCCAGAGCCTGGCTGGGATTCCCGTGCCTGCTGCAGAGGAGAGGGAGAAGAGAAAAACTTCATTTGGCCATTTTAACTTGCACTTCACAGCAGTTTTTCACCGAAGCAGCTTCGTTTGTGACGAATTCAATCCCTTTTCCCCAAGCCCCGGCTCTGACCTGCTGGAGCCAGGGCAGAACTTCCCGGGTTTATTCCTGGGATGGATCCAGAAAAATGTTGGTCCCCTGGACATTTTTTTTTTTCCCCGGGGAAGGAGCTGAGGAAATGTTTCATCAGCTGCTGGATCTGGCTGGAGATGCTCCCAACTCAGGTGACTCACCTGTGGGATGGAGCTGCACGTCACTCCCTGACCAGCACCTTTTCTGTGCCTAAAATTGGGCATTGATGAGGCATCAGCAGGTCCTTGGTGAGGCAGGATTGGCAGAATTCCCAGGGGGACCCCCAGGTTTGTGTTCCACAGCAGGAATTAGGGGAGCAGCTCCCTCATTTGAGCCTCTGCTCCCCCCACTCCCTCCGTCCTGCCCGGGTTGTGTCGGGAGCAGGGGTGGGTTGTGGCAGGAGCAGGGGTGGGTTCTGTCAGGAGCAGGGG